TGTGGGGCAGGAACAGGATGTCCGGCCACGGGGATGAGGATCCCGAATCCCTTCCTGCCATTGAATCTGCTCTCGGCAGGGAGCGGGGCGAGGGAGGGACCTGCGGCGGAGCCGTCTCCAGCACTTCCCCATCCCAGGGCGGCCAAAGCTCCTTGAGGCCTTGCTCTGGCAGGGGCTGGAGGTACCTCTCGGACGTATTCTTCCTGTTCCTCCTTCAGCGTCATCAGGATGAAGATCTGCTGCAGCTTCTCGTTGCAGTAGTTGATGATGAACTGCTCAAAGCCGTTGTCCTAAGAGAGAAGGGTCCCGTATGGCAGGTGCTTCCTAAGCCCCAAGCCCTGCCCCATGTCTCAACTGCTGTTCCCAGCCCCCTGAATGTGGCCAGGTGAATGAAGACTCACCTGGAAGATCTCAAAGCCATAGATGTCCAGGACACCCATCACCTTTCTCTGCTCGTTTGACTTCACCTGGGGAGATAATGGGGTGTTGTGCCCTGTGTGGGGTGGAGGCCCAGGGTCCTGCTGGGGCTCCAGCATCCTCTGGAGCTCACCTGGATGCTGGCATTGATGCGATTCACCAGCCAGTCGAAGAGGCGGCTGTAGATGTTCTTGGCTAGCGCATCCCGGCCGTAGTAGCCCTGGGGAGAGGGGAGAGGGGCTGGTGCCGGCTCATGGGGGGCTGCTGGGCATCAGTCCCACAGCTAGGACTGGTCCTGCTCACCTGGGGGACAGTGAGGGTGGTGAGCACCGTCTCATCCCGTGCCTTCACCGTGCGGGTGCACAGCGCCTGCTCCAGCGTGCTGGGGTCCAGCCCGATCAGCTCGCAGATCTCACGCAGCTCTGTGGGGACACGGCAGTGCCAGAGCCGAGGAGGGGCTGAGGGGGTCCCCACACCCATTCCTATCCCCATCCCTACCCTGGGGCTCAGTGATGCTGCAGGCCTCCATCCCGCTGGCCTGGAAGCTGCTGCTCAGCTGGATGTTTCCCAGTTTGAGCACCACGGCCGTCACCTCCAGCAGGTCTGTCACCTCGGCAGGTGAGAACCCGATGACCCTCATGGCATCCTGGGGATGGACACAACAGCTCAGGGGTTTGGGTGGGCTCTAGGATTTTTGGAGGAGGGTCCTGCCTTCCCGTGGGTACCTGCATAGTGTGGAAGTTGGCTGCATCATCCATGCCAGGTAGGCTGGAGCTCTCCCGGTTCAGGTATCCGTAGTGCCCACAGTCCTGGCGGAGCTTCAGCTGCTCTGGTTGAGGGGACAGCAGGTGGCAGTTCAGCCATGATCCCCTCCAGCTCCTGTTCCACCTCCAATTCCCCCACACAGTGGGGTCTGGACCTACGGAGCAGCTGTGGCGAAGCCCCAGCCAGGAGCTGGTAGAAGATGTGGAAGTTCCTCTCGCCCTTCACATGCCGGACAATGCGGGATTTCTCCAGCAGGTCTGCGGGGAGGGGTCAGAGTCACTGGGATGTGTGGAGTGGAACCCCCCCGGGATGGCTGGTGGGTACTCACAGTTGCTGATGACCCCTCCCAGGGGCTCCCCCTTGAAGTCGAACTCAATGTCCATGTACTTGCCCTGGGGGACGAGACGGGGTCAGGGAAGGGGGTCCCGGTGGGACTGGCAGCTCCACTGCCCACATCCTCATTGCTGTCCCCTCTGTGCTCCCAGCCCCATCAGGGCCCCCATGGCCGCAGCAGGGTCCAATCCCCCTTCCCCAGGTCACTCACGAATCGGGAGGAGTTATCATTACGGACAGTCTTGGCGTTTCCAAAGGCTGCAGGAGAGGACAGGGTTATGGTGTGGTCCAGGGGGACAGTGCCAAACCCTGGCAGGTCCAGGATGTGGGAGGCAGGGCTCAGGATGTGTGGCACTCACCCTCCAGCACAGGGTTGGACTGCAGGAGCTGCTCCTTCACCTTGTTCACCTCTTCCCCTTTGCTGCTCACGGCTGCCACGTAGGACATCACCAGCTTGCTGGCCTCTGCCAGAGAGGGGCAGGGGGTCATTGGTGTGGGGCTGTGGGTGCTGGGGCTGTGCCCCTCATCCCACCAGCCCCTCTCAGTGCCCTGAGCCCCCCCTGCAGCCCTGACTGTACCTGTCTTGCCGGCGCCACTCTCACCGGTGATGAGGATGCACTGGTCCCTGTCCCGGTCCCGCAGCGAGCGATAGGCATCGTCAGCAATGGCATAGCTGGGGGCAAGAGGGGTTGGAAGGGGCTGGAGCCATCTGAGGGCTCCAGGAAACGCCAAGAACCCCCCGTTGTGGCTGCGGCATTGCCCCAGGTGGATTCCCTTGGACCCTGACACCTTGGGATTGCCCAGGAATGATGCTCTTGGCACAATCCAGCGGACCAAGGGCACCACCAGCCTCCCCGTGCTCACATGTGGGGCTTCACGGCAAAGAAGCTGCAGTTGTGATACTCCTCCACCTTCTCCGGGGTGTAGATGGGCAGGGCCTGGTACGGGTTCACCGAGATCACCACATTCCCAATGTACGTCTGCAGGACAGCAGGCAGCAGGGATGAGGGGCTGGCAGGACCCAGACCAGGTCCTGATGATCCCCATCCCAGATCCTCGTCTTCATCCCAGATCCCGCTCCCCATCCGAGAACATCCCAGACCCTGCAGCCCTCCTGCTTCCCAGATCCTTCTTCCCATCCCAGACCCCAAAACCCACTTGTCACCCTCAACCCTGCAGCCCTCCCACTTTGCATCCCAGGTCCCATACCCCTTTCCCACTTTGGACCCCAATGTTCTCCTGCTCCCAATCCCAGACCCCATATCCTGCTCCCCACTCCAGACTCTGCAGTTCTCCTACTTTCCAGATCCTTTTCCCCAACCCAGACCCCATATCGTGCACACTTTGAAGCCCCCCCATTCCCCATCCCAGACTCTACAGCCTTCTCAAACCCCATCTCAGACCCCATATCCTCTTCCCATCCCAGACCCCATATCTCATTCCCCATGCCAGACCCTACAGCCTTCCCAAACCCCATCTCAGACCCCATATCCTCTTCCCATCCCATATCCCGTATCCTACAGCCCTCCCAAATCCCCACATCTGTCTTCCCATCCCAGACCCTGCAGCCCTCCCAATCTCAGACCCCATATCTCACTCCCCATCCCAGACCCTGCAGCCCTCTCAATCCCCATCCCAGACCCCATATCCCACTCCCCATCCTAGATCTGCAGCCTTCCCAATCCCCATCTCAGACCCCATATCTCATATCCCATATCCTCTTTCCATCCCAGATCCCGTATCTCATTCTCCATCCCAGACCCTGCAGCCTTCCCAATCGCCATCCCAGACCCCATATCCCTCTTCCCATCCCAGACCCCGTATCCGGCTCGCAGCCCCTGCCGTCCCCCCAAGCCCCCCCGTCCCGCTGCCCACGTAGATGTCGTGGCGGCGGAATCGCTCCTGCAGCGTCTGGACCAGCGACTCCTCGGTCAGCGGGTCCAGCAGCACCAGGTCCGCGACGGCCTCGGCGTCCAGCATCGAGGGGGAGCCTTCCATGGCCGGGCAGCTCCGGGGCAGCTGCGACACAGCACGGGGGGGCTGCAGCCACGGACACGCAGCCCCTTCCCCAAAACTCCCCACCAGGTCCTCAGCAGCCTCTGGGATCTTGGCTGCTCCCCCCAACCCTGGGGACAGGGGACAGGGGTAGCCACACACCCACAGAGGCACAGGGGGCACCTTCCCGGGGTATCCCGGTGCCCAGGACCCCGTGGTGGGGTTGGGGGCAGCCGGACGCTGGGGGGAAGCGGGGACCCGGCCAGGAAATGCGGACACCTGGATCCTGTTCTTGGGGCAGGGATTAATTCAGGCTCCACTTCCTCCCTCCTTCCTGGCAGGGAAAAGGCAGGGCGGGGTGGGGAGCCCAAGCCCCCCAGCAGGTCACCCCCAGCAGCCCGTGTGTTGCTTCCCCCCACTCTCCCCCATCCCTCACCTGTCTGTGACAGCAATGTCACGTTCCCGGGGGTGACCTTCACCCCCACTTTACAGCTGGGGCGCAGGGCTGTAAACCCAGCCCCACTTATCGGTGTCCCGGGGAAAGTTCACGAGCGAGGAGAAGGTGGGGAGGGATGGGGCAAAAAGGGTGATGGAGGTGACCCCAGCACCCTCCAGGGGTCTGAGCCCCCCGTGCTGCTGGGTTGTGACCCCAAGGTCAGCAGCCACCGGTGGGAGGCAGAGTAAGAGCCCCCCACAACTCCAGGGCAGCGCTGGGCTCATCCCGGTGCTGCCAATGACACCGGGTCCCCACGCCCCGTGGGATGCAGGTGCCCTGGGATGGGGGCTGGGGGGACAGGGCACCCCCATCCAGCTGAGGGCTGGGGGGCTCCAGGTGCTGTCTGGCAGCAGAGGGGTCCCCGACTCACCTCCCGGTTACAGAGCAGCAGCTCCTGGGGTGGCTTCAGCTGGAGCGGCTTCAGCTGGAGCTGCCCCGGAACCGGCGGGGCTCAGCCCAGCCCAGAGCCCGGTGCTGGCTCCGTCCGGCCCACGGAGGGGCGGGGGGGCCGCAGGGCCCTCCCCCAGAGCTCCCAGCTGGGGAAACTGAGGCAAGAAGGAGCAGCCAGTGGGGATCAACCCCAAGAGTGTCGCTGGCTACAGCCCCTGCCCGTGGTCCTGGCCCGGCTGCTCTGTGCCTTCCCCACCCCGCAGCTCAGAGCAGGAACAAGCAGGGAAAATCCTGGAGCCGAGCAAACAAAAGGAGCTTCCTCTCCTGGGCTGCGGGAAACAAGGGCAAGGTACAGGGCTGGAGAACCGGGAGGAGCTGGGGCTGGAGAACCGGGAATGCCCAGGATACCTGTCCCCAAGGAGAACACCTGTCCCCAGGGAAGCACACCTGGTCCCAGCCCAAGCTGAGGCCATGGTAGGTCCTGCCACAGGGAATGTGTGACCCAGGGGCTGTTGTGTCCCCACACACCATCCCTTAGCAGAATGACCTCCCACATGTAGCTGAGCCCTGGGGTCACAGCAGGACGAACAAATGAGGCTCAGGCCCTAAAAAATACATCTTTATTAAAAATATAATGAGTCATTCATCACGCTGAGGATGGGGGGATGCAGTAACAGAGTCTGCTCACACCTGAGCAGGGAGGAAAGTGCAGGGAGGGCTGGGGAGCAAAGCTGGGACAGGGACAGACATCAGACTGAGACAAACTGATGGTGGAAGCTGCAGGTGAGGTAGGGGCTTGGCTGGGGGTCCCCAGGGCAGCTGAGACACTGTGAGGAGGTGAGGGCAGCTTTATTGCTTAGGAAGTTGCATAGATTGGGGTGTCCCCTCCAGCTTTGTTCTTTGGCAGAGCTCCCCAGTCAGCACCAGGAGCTGGAACATCGATGGGGTCACCCCCACCCCCTGCCTGCACCCATTGGGAGAGAAGTGACGGCAGTAGAAGGGCAGTGAGGCAGGGAGGAAGCACATCCACACTCATCCTCAGCTCTGGCATGGGGAGAGGGGGCTGAGCATGGCCTCTACCCCAACACCACAACCAGGGGCAGCCAGCAGACCCCGAGGCTCCACAGCTCCATCGGGGAAGTGCCAGAGGTTTTGGTATCCACACGGGATTGAAGCCAAGGCAGAGGTGTGGCCTGACCAGCTGGAGCCCTCTGACAGCTTTGTAGCAGGAGGAGGAGGAGCAGCTCGCTGGCAGCTCCTTCACCACGGCTCCAGACAGGCGCTGAGCCTGCAGGTAACAGTGGGACGGGTCCAAAGTTCCTCTTGTGTGTGTCACCCTCAGGCACCTGCACAGGAGATGGAGGGGAAGGTCCATCCCCACCCCAGGCTGCTCCGTGCCCAGCGAGGGGAAAGGGGCTCCTGTCTGCAGCCCACAGCTGTGGCACCGAGGGATGGAGCCAGATTAGCACCCAGGATTGGGACAGGGTCCCTGCACCAGGGGTGCCACCCTGAGAGCTCACAACCATCCACTGCAAAAGTTGGGGTGGGTCCAGGCTGCATCCAGGACCAGGCGACCTCCCAGCCTAGGGGGGCTCCCATGTATCCCACCCCCAAAACACCCCAGAGCTGTGCTAACAACACACAGGCACACCTCAGGCAGGAGCTGCAGGGGAAGGGAGGTCAGAGCCCCTTTTCTCCCTGTCAGGAGGATCCATCCCCACAGGATCTATCCCCACCATGCCTGGAGCAGCCCAGCAGTGGTTCTGCTCCTTTGGTCCCAGGGCAGCTGACCTCACTGGACATCCAGATGGTTGTGGGGCAGGGAACCACTCCTGTGATTCCCAGCAGAGGAGTAATTGACATTTTTCTCCTCCTCCTCCTCTTCTTCATCATCATCATCATCCTCAAAGAGCTCCTCATCAATGTAGATTCTTCCCAGGCCAAACTCCTGCTCGTGGGCAGACACCTCACTGGGGGTGACATGGGAAGCACCACCCACAAAGTCAGCAAACCTGGGAGAAGACGTGGAGCAGCACGTTGGGCAGGTGTGTCCAAAGCCTCTGGAGAGGCCCTGACACACGCAGGTAAAGCACTTTGGTGCTGGCACCTGGTGCTATCCATCCTTTCTCCCCACCACTCTGTGCTCCCACACACCACAGATCTGTGTCTCTGTCTCCAAGCACAGAGATGACAGAACAGAGGGACACAGAGTGGCCACCCTGAGCTTGCTGTTGGGATGTTACCTTTTGGGAGACTGGATTCGGGACACCGTGGTCCAGGCAGAGAATTCGGGGCTCTGGCAGGAGCTCCGCAGCTCTGCCAAGGCCTTGCGGGTCTCCACCTCGCCCTGGAGCCGAAATTCCTCCTCTGTCAGCAGCCGAGGGGGGGTCGGGCCCAGCTTGGAACTCTGCACCTTCCTGCCCGGGGGCAACACCAGTTAATGCCTGCCTGGATGGGGTGGGACCAGATCCTGGGACAGGACCCCAGAGCAGGACTCCAGAGCAGCACCCCAGGGCAGCAACTCTCAGGACAGAAGCCCTGGGGCAGGACCAGCTCCCAGGGCAGGATCCTTGGAGCAGGAGCTCTAAGGCAAGATCAGCACCTGAGGCAGGACCACCTCTCAGGGCAGGAAATCTGGGGCAGGGCCTGCTCCCAGAGCAAGAACCCCTGGGCAGGACCAGCTCCTGAGGCCAGACCAGCTCCTGGCACATGAATCTCCGGGGTCGAACCAGCTTCTGGGACATGAATCCCTGGAGCAGCCCGAGCTCCCAGGACAGGACGAGCTCCTGGGGCAGCTGGCAGGGGGGAAAGTGGAACACACCCCTCCAGCCTTTGCTCCTTGCTCCCAAGGGCTCTCTGTCCTGCACCAGTCCCAGGGGAAAAAGGGCACAGTTACCCACCCCACTCCTAGTGAAAACAACCCTGTTCTGTGACCCAGGCTCCATCCAGCAGCTCATCCCAACCCAGCTGGGAGCAGTGAGCAAGCTGGAATCCCAAGGTCTCACCTGTAGGCAGCAAAGGCCCATTGCAAGGGGTAATCCAGGTTCTTGGTGCAGACAGCAATGAGCACCAGGCCCAGGGCGATGGGGTGGATCTGGATGCCCGAGTACATCAGCAGCAGCCCCAGGAGCTGCAGGGCCCAGGACAGGAGGTTGATGCTGCGCTGGTTCTCCAAGGGGCCGTACCTGTAGCACACAGCAAAGCTCAGGAGGCCCACGAACAGCAGGTAACCTGTGGGAGAGCACAGGGATGGGGCAGAAATTGGGGGCTCCATGAGGATGAGGGGGAAGCTGACACCACCCCTGGATAGGGATGTTCCAGCATTGCTCCCCAGCAGGTTCCAGCTCCATTAGGAGACATTCACCTGGTGAAACAGCGAATCCCAGAGCTCCCAGAGCCCCACCTACCTAACAGGTATTGCCAGTAGGACGTGCAGATCTCCCGCAGGTTCTTGAAGATCAGCTGAAGCAGGTACAGGGAAAAGGACCAACCTCCGACCAGCAGGAAGTACACAGGGCTTTTCTGGGGGGCACAAGAGGGTTGCAGGCAGGTTGGGGATACCTCCCCCAGGTGCTGAGCTGCTCTGTACCAAACCCAGTCCATCCCAGTACAGGTATGGAAAAGGCTATGAGGCCTCTGAGCCCCTCAAGACGTGACACCTACCTTGGGCATGACCTTAGACATCATGTAGACGAGGACGAGCAGCGAGGCCAACAAGCCAACACTGATGCCAGCTGAGTAGTAGAAGATTTGGCTCCTGCAATGATCCCACAGGGAATCAATCACAGCAGGTGCTTTAGGGTTACCTGTGCACAAACACCCCCACCCAGGAGCCACTGGGCACTGCCCACCTGCCCCAGCCCCTGGGAAGAGGAGGGGGCTCACCTGCTCAGTGTGTCCCCACAGAAAAACAACAGCAGGCCCAGGAAGAAAACAAGGAACATCTTAGGATCAAAACCTGGAAAGTAAGGGAATCCCAGTGAAGAAGGGCATGGTAGGAAGCTCACACCTGCCACAGGGAGATAGCAGCATCCAGGTGAACTTCCAAGAGCCCCACATTCCTTCCACAGACCAAATTCCCTTTCTGAGGAAGGAATAGGTCCTTAGATCATGAGCTGCCCGTCCTGCTGTCCCCTAGGCAGCCCCAGGCCCCCTTTCCCCCAGCGAGGAGGGGACGTACGTCGGAAGAGGAGGACGGAGTAGGTGGTGCTGGGCTCCAGCAGCTCGACCTTGAGACAGGTTTTGTTGCTGTAGAGATCCACGTCGATGCTGGTGTCGTTGAGCTTCCCCCGCAGGAAGGAGAACACCATGTTCCACACGCTGAACTTCTCCAGCTCCTCCTCGCTGTCCACCTGGGTGACACGGATCATCCGGCTGCTGTTGATGCGGATCTGCGGGAAGAGAGGGGGATGGATGGATGGATGGAGGGGCTGGAGCAGGGAGGATCTGCTGCCTCCTCCTCCTCCTCCTGTCACCTGTGTCCTCGTCCAGATGTCGTTCCATCGCGGGACGCGTGTGTTGGTGTAGCAGAAGCGCTGAGATTCCTTGTAGTGGGACTCGTGGCCCTCCTGGAGCGGGATGATGGGATTCTTGGCATCTGGGAAGAGCAGAGGGAGGGGTTCGGGCCCTGCTGCCCTCTGCTTCACCCACCGAACGTCTTCCCTACCCGGGGATCCTCCATTCAAGCATATTCCCCACGGCCCTTCTGGTTTTCCTTGGAATAGCCCCTCTGGTTCTTTTTTGGGATAACCCTGCGCCCTGGCTGTCGGGATCAGCACAGGCCCATCCCTGCGTCCCTTCTAGTTCGACCCCTAGTTCCAAAATCCGAAAACCTCAGGGACATAAATCCGAGGGTGCCTCCAGCTCCCCGAGGCGAAGCGGCTCCCGAATCGCAGGGAAGGCCCTATGGTAGTGGGGGATCGGGACAACGGGACACGAAATCCCGGTCTCACCGGGCAGCACCGACACCCTGAGAGTGGAGGCCCCGGGAAGCTCTCAGAGGGTTCCCTGGGGGCTCAGGGGGTCTCTCAGCAGATACGAGGCAGTTCCCTGTGGCCACGCCGCTGGTTCCCTTCTCCTGCAACGCTGCCCCGGGGACTGTCGCCTCCCCACTCCCCACCATGACTCCCCTCGGTCCCCGCCCATGGACATCGCTGCCCTGTGCACCTGCAGCTTCCAGGAGCAGGAAGGGCAGGAACAGAAACATCAGCACGGCCAGTCCTGAGAGGCGCCGCCGCTCCGGAGCCGCTTTCATCCCTCCCGCCGCGGCCGCTCCGGCCGCTTCCGCTTCCGCCGCCCGTGTGGCCCGGCCGCGGAGGAGCTTCCACGGCCAATAGAAGAAGAGCTCGCCGAGCTTTCTCGTTGATTGACAGGTAGTTTAACCTATCAAAAAGCACCTCTGACCTCGCGCCCACCTCCCTGCAGCCTGCCATGTTGAGTGACAGTATGTTTAACCAGTCAGCAGTGCGCGTGCAGGAAGCAGCCATGTTCCCGCCCTCGGTTATCATGGTGACCAACATCCCCCCGCCATTCACTGAACAGCCACGCCCTGCTCCGGTAACGGCTCTGACGGACACGCCCCTCAGCCAATCAGAGCGCAGGTATGACAGGCCACGCTCTCCGCCCCCGTCTTTATTCCTTATGATTGACAACCGCCTCCGCCTATCAGGGCGCGGCCTCGCGTTGTTTGTGTGAATGGGTCACGCGTGGGGGGCGCGAAGGTCCCGCCTCTCCCACACTCCCCCTCCGGCAGCCGAACCCGCGGCCCCAGGCCCCGCCGGCACCGGGCCCCGCGACCCCACGGCCCGGCCGGGACTCTGCCAGGGCGGACATTGCACGAGGGTCACCGGTGACCCGCGGCGCGGAGGGGGTCCCGCATCCCACCGGCCAAGGGGCGGCTCGGCTCAGCCGGGGGGCTCCGGTTCGCCCCGCTGCCGGCACCGTCCGTCCCTCCGCAGCGAGGCTCCCGCAACCCCGGGAAGGGGGTGCCGCCCTCCGCGTGGGTCCCTCCCCGTGGGGCGGTGGCCGCCCGTGGGCGGGCAGCGGGGAGCGGGCTCGGGCAGCCCCCCCGCTCCCCCTCCGCGGGCCGTGGGCGGTGGAGCCGGGAAGCGGCGGAGCCGTGGGCGGAGGATGTGCGTCAGCCGGGGGCAGCGCCGGGGCTGGGAACGGCCCCACCGCGCCGGACGCTTGGTCGTGGAGGGGGGAGGCGTGACAGGGGGGCGGTGGGGTGTGTGGGGGATGGGGGTGAACCGGGAGGCTGGGACAGGACCCCTGCCATGGGGACCGGGACCGGGATCGTGCGGGATCCCCCGGCTGCTCCCCTGGCAGCTCTGGGGATGTGCCCCGGACACCGGCACGGGCCCCCCCGGCCAAGATCGCGCGGGGGCGGCTCTGGCCCCACGCCAGGCGCCGGCCGCAGTATAAATAGCACCGAGCAACGCTGGGCTGGACCAGGGTGTGGGCCGTGACACCCCCCGTCCTCCTTCCCGCGGGAGGCACCCTGGTGCGGCGAGTGAGGGGCTTCAGCATCCCCCGAGCCCACCCGGGAAACCTCCGTCCGCTCCCGTTCTCGCTGCTCCGGGGCGCCGCTGGGGTGCTCACCCGAAGCCTTTCGATGGCAGCATGTGCGTGCCGGTGACACCAAGCGCCAGCCCTTCGCAAGGGATCCGGCACCGGGGGGACTGCCGGGACAGCGGTGCCGGTACCCGGAGCATCCCCGCGCCCGCTCAGGTTGTCACCGAAACCGGGGATGCTGCGAGCGCTGCCCGCGGGACCCCCGGGATTCAGGGTGTCCGCGCCAACACCGAGCACCGTGTCCCCTTCGCGGGGGATTCTGCCTCTCCCACGGGCCCCCCGTACCACGCGTGTCCTCCCCGGTCCCTGCCCGGGCTGCGGGACCCCCGATGCTGCCGTGCGGGGCGCCGCTCCCCTCCCGCTGCTCCGGTGCCGAGGGGGGGAAGAAGGGGGCCCGGTGCCACCGCCCCCGCCGCTGCCCCCCCCGGCCCGCCGGGAAGTTGCCAATCGAAGCCTCCGGGCAGCCCCTGCCGCCTAGCCCGCCGCGGGCGGGGGCGGCAGCCGCGGGATCCGCCCCCGGGGCCTCCCACGCGCGGCGCAGCCGGGGCCGCTGCTATTTCACGGTCCCGCCCGTGTGGGCGGCGCGCAGAGCGGCGCGGCGCGGCGGAGGGAGCGCGCGGCCCGGCCCGGCCCGGCCGCGGGACCCCCGAGCTCCGGCACCCCCCAGACCCTCCGGCTAGAGCCAGCCCCGGAGCCCCCCGGCCGCCCGGCGGGGCGGGCGGAACGGACGGAGGCGGTTCCAGGCGGCGGTGAGCAAGCGGGGGACGGCGGGAGGGGATGGGGCACTGGGGGGCACCGGCCAGGGCGAGAGTCCCGGAGGATGGTGGCTATGGTGGGACTGGGGGAACCGAACTGGGACGGAGCAGCGAGGGACACCGGGCAGGGCGGGGGCCCCGAGGGGTGTTGGCCATGGGGCTCCGGGCGGGTCTGAGGCTCCGGGATGCATGGGGAGAGGATGGTCCTGATGGGACCGGGGGCACCGCGGCACCAAAGGGTGCCGGGCGGGGTCGGGGGCTCGTGGGGGGATGGCCTCGATGGGACCGTGGGAGCACAGAGGGACCGTGGGGATGGCAGGGGGATGGGACACTGGGGGTCACCGGGTAGGGCAGAGAGCCCCGGGAAGGGATGACCCCGGTGGGTCTAGGAGGAATGGGGGGGGGGAGGGTTGGGGATGGCGCATGGGGTGGGTTCGGGGCACGAGAAGGCACCAAGCAGGTGCGGGGACGCTGGGGGAGGATCGCCTTGTGGTGGGACGAGGATGGGGATGGGGCACCGAGCGGGGCGGGGTCACCAGGGAAGGATGGCCCTGATGGGATCCAGGGGACCACAGAGGCACAGGGCACGGGCAGGGCAGGGGGCCTGGGGGACGTTGGCCATGGTGAGATCGGCACTGGCACACCATCCTCGGGAATGGGGGGCTGGGGAAAGCCCCATGTGTGTCCTGCCCCATGTGAGGACCCGGTGTGGAGGGGCTGCTGGCTGGGGGAGGGGCAGAGGCAGGGCACAGCCCAGGGTAGGGGGTAGGAGCTGGGATGAGGGTGACCCCACTCATGTCTGTGCCGTGTCCAGGCGCTGTGGCTGCAGGGACTGTCCCAGCCCGCAGCATGTGGGTGGGATTGGGCACCCCATGGGGCTTGGGGACGCTGGAACACCCACACTTGGGAGTGCTCCCTCTGCCCTTTACTCCCAGGCCCGAGGGTGGGGAGGGTGTTTCTCCTGCATGTCCATCCATCCCGGTGGTGAGTCCGTCTGTCCTCCGTCCACCGCAGGCTCGCCATGGCCCTGCCCCGCACACTGGGGGAGCTGCAGCTGTATCGGGTGCTGCAACGCGCCAACCTGCTGGGCTACTACGAGACCTTCATCCAGCAAGGGGGGGACGACGTGCAGCAGCTCTGCGAGGCGGGCGAGGAGGAGTTCCTGGAGATCATGGCGCTGGTGGGCATGGCCACCAAGCCCCTCCACGTCCGCCGCCTCCAGAAGGCCCTGCGCGAGTGGGCCTCCAACCCGGGGCTCTTCAGCCAGCCCGTCTCGGCTGTCCCTGTCAGCAGCATCCCACTCTTCAAGCTCTCTGAGGCCGGCGGGCGCAAGGCGCTCAGCAATGGGCACACCAGCCCCGGCGAGGCCGCGGGCAAGGGGGGTGGCAGTGCCGGGACGCCCCCAGCCCGCAGCCCCACGGAGCCAGGGGAGAAGCTGTCACCGTCAGCGGTTCCACCGTGGCCGGGAAGGAGCACCCCGGAGTCAGAGGGTGGTGGGGACGAGGAACCGGGGGGTCCCCCCTTCTCCCCGGGCGGGAGCAGCGGGGAGCAGGCGGTGGGCACGGAGCTGGAGCCGGAGCTGGCACGGACGGTGGTGGAGAGCGTGGAGCGGCTGCTGCAGAGCTGCCCCCGGGGCGGCGAGGCCGAGCTGCGGGCGCTGATGAAGCTCAACAAGAAGCTGGCCAAGGCTGTGGGGCACATCTTCCAGCTGGAGGATGGTGACCGGCAGAAGGAGGAGGAGATCCGGCGGCACAGCGCGATCTACGGCCGCGGCGAGGCCCGGCGCCGGGAGGGCAAGCAGCTCACCCTGCACGAGGTGGGCTCCGCGCTTGAAGTTCCTGGGATGTGCTGGGTTGGGATAGGGACTGAGGTGGCTCTGGGAGTAGGGTGAGTGGGATTTGAGGTTTGCTCTCACGCAGGTGGCATCTGCCAGCCTGGAGCTGGAGCTGCCTTAGCTGAGGGTCCCGTGGGCGCTGTCGTCCTGTCCCCACTCACGCATCATCTCTGCCCCCAGCTCATCATCAACGAGGCAGCAGCCCAGTTCTGCCTGCGGGACAACTCGCTGCTGCTGCGGCGCGTCGAGCTCTTCTCGCTGTCACGACAGGTCGCACGGGAGAGCACCTACCTGTCCTCGCTCAAGGTCACCAGGTGAGCCCAGACCTGGGAAACCCCCGCCTCGTAGGGTTTGGGGGGCCTTGCTGTGTCCCCCTTGCACCCTTGGAGCTGCACCATGATCCAGCACTTCTGGATGGGGCCAGGACCCTGCGGCCCCCTGTTCCCCTTTTCCAGCGTGGGTGGTTTCTGCCTGACCTCAGAGCGTGGGAGGTGGGGAGGATGGGAATGACGGGGATGCCAGGCGTGGGGGGGGATGCCAGGCAGCAAAGGGATGCCACTGGGGATGCCCCATCTCTTCCCTCCATCTCCAAAGCCCCCTGCCCACTATGCCAGGGCTGCCTTTTCCCTTCGCTCTCCAGCTGCTTCCTTCTTCCACCCCCAATTCCATCCGTGCCAGAACCACAGCCCTGCCTGGTGGCTCTGCTCACAGCATGGGGCCTTGCTGTGGCCGCCCCCACGCCTGACACAGCCCCTTTCCACCCCCAGGGCACATCCTGAGGACAGCGGTGCCGTTGTGGCCAAGCGGCTCAAGCAGGAGGTGGGTGCAGGTGCAGGGGGAGCATGTGCAGATGTGCACACCTGTGAGCGTGGGTGTGATGGTACAACGTGCCCGGGGCTGCCCATGCCAGCTCTGAGTGATGGCCGTGGGTGTCCTGGCGTGGGTGGCACAGGGGCCCTGCTCACCTGTGTGCTCCTGGTAGGCGGGAGAGCAGAGCCGCCCTGAGCTCCTGGCACTGCCGGTGGGGCTGGAGCCCCCCGGGGCCGGATACCGAGCCAGCTTGGAGGAGGACACGGGCAGCCTCTCCGGGGAGAGCCTCGACGGCCACTTGCAGGGTGAGTGGGGGTCCCTCCCCTTCGCGGGGGGCTGGTGGTGGCCGGTCCCCGGCCCCTCGCGCTGACTGTAGCCCCTCTCTCGGCAGCGGCGGGGGCTTGTCCCCGGCTGACCCCTCCGCCCGGTGCGGCGCCGGACGTGCCCCTCGGCCTCGCTC